TAACGCACAGGATGCCTGTGAGGGGGCAGCTGCTCTGAGCCGTGGTGGACTCTTTTCTGTAGCTTCCTGTGGCCTCTTGTTCTTTTGAATTCTTGTTATCGCAGATAACACCACCAAGTCCCTGGAACTCGTGGCTTTGGGAAAGCCTCTGAGGTGTCAAAAAGAAAAAGTTTACCACAGTTGATCAGCCTCCTGCGTGGGGCTGTGTGGGGAACCTGTTTTAGTGCATCGCACCTCAGAATTCGCTCTGACTCTTCCTTTCAGGGAGTGACCAAAACAAGGTCCTGGAATGATCAGGGAGAACTGCCACGAAGGAGGCAGTGAAGTGGCTTATAGAGTGGGTAGAACAGATACTAGAGATCGTGAGACATGATTCCCCACCAGAGAGGAGATGAAGTGAGGGAAGATGGGGGCAGGAATTTCGGGCCTCGAAGAGACTGGTCAAGAGGGGAACAAAAGGCCCCCTGTAGCGGGGGAGCAGGAGCCCAGACTGCAAAGGGTGGCTGTGGGGGTTCCTGAAAGAAGTTATCTGCGAAGGACCGGGCTGTTAGAGTGGTGCTTTGGAAAAAGAATCTGACCTTCAAGGGCAAATGGGGGAGAGGAAGTATGGGAAGTGTGAAGTGACCAGAGTCCAAATGAGGTGTGATGAGGAGGCAGAGAAGTGAGGGAGGGAGGCCAGAGCCTGATGACTGCCTGGATGAGGGCTCAGAGAAAGTCAGAGTCCACAGATACTGGTTCTGCTCCTACCATGTGCCAGACACTGTTCGATGCTGGGAGACCATGGTGAGCCAGACAGACAAGGGTCCTCTCTTTCAATATGCTCCTAACATCTGGGACAGTGACATGCAAACAGTAGCATAATTTCAGATACTGATTTGTGCTATGAGCAGGGAAATGAGAGAGGGGTGGGGGCATCCGACAGCCTGGAGAGGCTACTTTGTCAATGGGTATTTATTGACTAGTTCTCAACCATGTGCCAGAGATGGCTCCGACACGTGGGAAGCATCAGTGAGCAGGAGAGACAAAAAGCCTGCTTTCCTGTGGCTTATACTCTGTCAGGGGGAGATAGGGAATAAATCATAAAATAATAAATAAGTACTATTATATTATGATAGAGGGAATAAGAGCTATGGGAAAGAGAACACTTTTTTTTTCTCTAATTTTTTGCTATTATAGATAATGCTGCGATGGGCATCTTCATGCAGAAATCTTTTCCATGTGTCTAAGGATTTTTCCTAAGGATAGATTTCAAAAAGTAGAATTACCCCCATCTTGAAGGTTTTTAACATAAAGTATCAAATTGCTTTTCAGTGAAGTTATACCAACTTATTCTTCCTCCAGCATATATAAGGGTGTTTATTTTACTACAGCCTCACCAGCATTGAGTATTATGAATTTTTTTAAGTGCTAATATGCTATTTATTTAATTGGTATTACCTTGATAATGAAATTGAAAGTTGACTTTTGGCTTTTTATTATCTGTGGGGGAAAGTATCACTAAACAAAATAATGTAAACAAATTATAAAACATAGTAATTTTTTTGTAGTCTGGGTTCTTCCTCTGTACCTGGGATTGGATGACTTACCAAGGTCACAGACCTTTTGTAGGCTGTCTTGGCAAGCCAACCTTTGCAGTAACAATTGATTCTATGGAAAGTGCCTGTCAAATTTCAAGACAACACTTGGACCTAACCCTTTTGTGAGTTGGGAACTGTGTGCTGCAAGAAGCCCGGTGACATTGACTGCTGTTCTTCCAAGCCCTGGCCCCTCTCCCTACTTTTCTCCTCTTCCTCCGTCTGTCCCCTGGATCTCCTGGCTTAGCCTCATCCAGGCCACAGGGGGTGGGAATCAAACTGGACATGAATGGGTGTGATCTGGACTTGAATTCTAGCTTTGCTGCTGCTGACTTCAGACTGGAAGCCCTAAAACCTAAATCCCACATTCCTATGTGAAATCCACACCCTCCTTACACACTCTACACATGGAGTTCTGCAAAATTTGAGACACTTACTTTTACCAATATTTGTGTGGATTTATAAGAATTTATAAATATGAATATTTCTGCTCCTATGAGTATTTATTAGTCTACTAGGTGCCTGAAAAGGTTTTGGGGAAAAAAAATTTTAATTAAATTTTAACATGTTTTGAAAATAGCACCTCTTCTCCCCAGCTTTTCTCCAGGGAGAAGAGAGACAGCTGGCCCCTGTTGTTGGGGCAGCCCAAAGACCATGCAGGACAGTGCGGAGGGCTTTTTCCTTCACTTATAAGGAAATATGGTGCGTCATGCCCAGTGGGACACGGTGTGCTGTGGCCCTGAACTCCCTTGTGCTCCTCATCCCTGAGCAAACCACCAGCTCGAACTCAGGTTTAAACATATCTGGAGACAGCACAGACCTGGAGTCCAATTGCCTGCATTCCGTTTCCACTGAAACATTGACTGTGTGACCTTGGTCAGGTTGCTTAGCCTTTCTGATGCCTCAGTGTCCCACCAGACAATGAGAGTGTAGTGGCCTCCTCAGAGTGCTGTAGGGATTGAATGAAACAATGTGTGCATGGAGGGCTTTGTACTACCCCAGGTTAGTAGTGAATACTTGGTAAATGCTGGGAGCTATGATCCAATTTTTTCACACTTACTCTAAATTCAGGGGATATATTTAAATGATGTGTCTATTCTGGTGCTCCACAGCTTCACAGAAATGAAGAAACTTTGGGTGACATTAAAACTAGCAATGAGATCAATTAAATGTTTAGAAATAGCCTGCTGCAATTGCTAAACAATTTTCATTTTATGTACGTAGAAAACATAGATCTAAATGGCTTAATTTCTTATTCTTAGAAAGATGGCAAAATTGTTGGACATTTGATAGTTCAATTCTTTTCTTCTATCCCTAGAAATAAAATCACAGGTACTGTGCCTAAATTTGATTAGTCAGGGCATTGTAGAAATAAAGGAAATAGTTTAGGACCAAGTAGATTGTTAGCTGCAGGAATGGGGAGCTGGAGGAAGTTTGCAGGTTTCTGCCCTTGAGCTTTTCCCCAGGGTGAAGGTTCATCTCCCCGGCAGGGTTGGGACATGGCTCTGCCCCACTCCCCTTGAACAGGGACCCTTCCACCACTTTCCACCCCCAGTGCCTGTTCACAGCCACTGTCAAGTATTCTCTGAAGGGGTTGCATTTCAACCTGTTGCTTGGTAATGAGTGAAATGTATTCCAAAGTACAGTTGATCCTTGAACAACATGAGTTTGAACTGTGTGGGTCCACATATATGCTGATTGGTTTTAGCAAATGCTATAAGTGTATTTTCTCTTCCTTATGATTTTCTTAATAACATTTTCTTTTCTCTAGCTTACTCTATTTAAGAATACAGGTTGTTGGTTTTTTTTACTCTTTTAATGAATTTATTGGAGTGACATTGGTTAATAACTTTATATAGGTTTCAGATGTACAATTCTGTAATACATCATCTGTATATTGTGGGTTCACCACCCCAAGTCAAGTCTCCTTCCATCACCGTTTATTCCCCCATACCCTTTTGTACCTCTCCTCACTCCCTTCCCATTACAATTTATATTACATATAATATACAAAATGGGTGTTAATTGTTTATGTTATTGTTAAGGCTTCGGGCCATAATAGTCTATTAGTAGTTAAGTTTTGGGGGAGTCAAAAGTTATACATGAGTTTTCAGTTGCATTGTTCAAGGGTCAACTGTACTCCCTTCCTCATGTTCTTCTTGGTTGCAGAGGAAAGAAGGAGTGGTCTCCCCGCGTCCCCCCCCCCAATATTTTCATAAACACACAGTGTCTTCCTGCGTCATGGAAAGGGAATCTTAGTGGGGAGGGAGGGAAGGACTCTAAGTGTTTTCATCTGAATGAAGTGCTGATGGCGTGGGGAGGGCTTTGTTAGGGCTCATCCAGTTCCCACAGAAAGTAGACTTGCCCCAACCCAACATGTCGTTGAGCCAGTCCTAATGCCCTGTATGTCATCAACTGGTCTCCTCTGCCCACTGAATGAGAATCCTCAATGGCATTTGCTAGGGCCACTGTATACAGTTGTGCAGGTTAAACTACATGAGGGCCACTGGGCAAAGGGGCATGTGGAGGCGGGGGAGGGAAGGCGCATAAAATCAAGCCAGAGTCCTCCTTGCTAAGCTGTGAATCCTGGTCTGGGGCTGTGTCTGCCTAGAGGAAAGGGCGCCTTTTCCCGATTTGCACAAAGGGCTTTCGATGGCCCTGGTGATATCTAATCTGAGTTCCCCTCTTTCACCCCCATCCTCCATAGCAGCCTCTGTTGCTACTGAATTATTTGGAAATGTTCTTCAATAGCTACAACCTTCAGGAGCCCAAGGGAGCTATAAAATGCACAAAGGAGGATGTGCCAGGCTCATAGACTGTCAGTGACAAGGCAGGAGATGGTTCATTATTTCGTTCACTACATGGAGTGCCCTCTGTGGGCAGGCACAGTGATGGGTGCTGGGGCTATGCATCTGGCCACAGGCAGGGCCTGTCTGCAAGGGACAACAAGCAGAGAAGTGCAGTACCCATGGTGAGCACCGTGATGGCCAAGGCACAGGGTGCCGGGCCCACAGAGGAGGTGTCCCCAACCTGCTGGAAGGACAGGGACACTTCCCTAAAGGAGGTGGGCCTGAGCAGGGTCTTCCAGGAGACATAGGAGCTCGCTGGGTACGCTGCTCTGGGTGGTGCCTGTTGCACCAAGAATTGCTGCGCTGAGCAGAGGTGTGTTAGAAGGCCCAGTCAGTCAGCAAGGTGTCTGACCTTGTTCACTGGGCTTCTTACACTGGGGTGGTGGGGGGAGATAGGTCTGTCTATTTTAAGCTTTGAAAAATCATTATTAGCAAAAGAATAAATCATGCTCCTTCATTGGGGCGGAGAGGTATATTTCTAGGTTTTAAATGGTTATGTTAAAAATTGGTAGACCCAGGAAGCTTTCTGATGGTTTGCTTTGTGACAACATACTGTTTCTTTTTCCCCCTCTCCCAGATACTTATTGGAGCAAGATTTCCCTGGCATGAGGATTGGTCCAGAGCCCACCACTGATTCCTTCATCGCTGTGATGTATGGGGAGAACGAGGGCAGCACTCCAGGGAATGCGTTAGTTGTGGACCCCAAAAAGCCATTCCGAAAGCTTGGTCGCTTTGGAAATGCTTTCCTGAATCGGTAAGGACCAGCAAACTGCCACCTTTGGCCAGGTTATTTAAAACTTTCCTTTGAATTCTTGCCAATTACATGTAAAGGTTCAAAAACAGAACTGAACATGTCTGTTCCAAAAGAGAGACATTATAGAGAATATGCTTTTGGTATTCAAATGTTTGAAACTTGCCCTGGCCCAGTAGCTCAGTTGGTTAGGGTGTCGTCCTGATGCTCCAAGATTGCGGGTTCAGGGCACATACAAGAATCAACCAGTGAATGCATAAATAAGTAGAACAACAAATCAATGTTACTCTCTTTCTCGCTCCCTCCTTTCCCCCCCCTCTCTAAAATCAATTTAAAAATATATTTGAAAGATTTTCATAGAAAATGATCATTTCACCTATTCTGGGTGACTTCAGAGAGCAGAACTAAGGCCCAGGATTGGACATTATAAGACCGCACAGCATAAGAAACAAATTTCTAATAGTTTGAGCTGCATAGAATTGCCTTGTGAGGTGTGAGCTCCCCGTCACTGGCTGGAGGGCCACCATTCAGGACGAGTGTGCCGGGGCCTCCTGCGCAGAGCTGAGCCCTGAGGACCCTAAGGTACACCTGACCCCAGATTTGGTCTGTTGATTATTGCAGGACAGGTCACCTCCTCTCCCTGGCTGCCCCTTATGCTTCTCACTCTCATGCTGTGAGCTGCTTCCTTCTTTATTGGAGCAGAGCAGAGGAAATAGAGCCAAAACAACACAGAAAGTTAATTTTTATACATGGGCATTGTTTTATCGATGTGGAGTTGTAGGATAGCCGAAGTACTGTCTTCACTGGAGATGCAGTTATACTACCCGTCACCTTTCACCAGAGTTCCCCTTGAAATGCGTGAGAGGGCAGAGAATAGCCAGCAGGTTCTGCCGGAGGCAGCTCTGCCCTCTCAGATATGATCTGCTCCTACCTTCCCCGCCCCCTCACTCCTCATGGCCACTCCTAGCGGGGGTTTTTTGTTGTGTTTTTTTAACATTCCTCTTTCTTTTTCCCTATAACTCCCCTCTCCCCTCGCCCCCTCTTTTATGAGTTTACTGCTTTAGACTAGTTGGTTTGAGGGAGTGGGCTGTGGGAGGTTCAAGGAAAAGGTGGGAGTCATCCATACCCATTTAGGGAGAGGTGGCACTAGAGCTGACAGACAAGAGACTTGAACTGCACTTCTCCTTTTTAGCTGGTTTTTAAAAATAGGAATGTATCTTCCCAGCAGACTGCTGTCCTCCCAGAGGCTGAGATATCTCATTGCACAACTCCAGGGGGCGCCATTCATGGGGACTGTGGAATGAATGATGTGCCTGGGTGCTGTGCAGTGGCTCTGCCCCCAGTGGTCCAGGCAACCTCCACAGGTGCCTTCTGTGGAAACCTGAACTCTCTAGGGACCCATACTCCCCATTAAGGGCTTTTTTATGCTGCTATGGAGATCAAAGAAAGCATCCAAGTGGCAGGGGAGAGCATGGCAGCAGGATAAATAGAAAGGTGCCGATGCATAGATGGAGCACAGAGAGATGTCATCTTGTTGCTAACAGTGAACTGCAGTTTATTCCTCAACTCCAGAGCGGCTTCTAGTGGGAGAAATAGGGGTCAAGCCCAGGTGGGCAACAACAGAGGGTCTCTCGGGAAGGGGTGGGTAGTAGTAAACCACACTTGAGGGGAAGTGGGACAAGAGCTCCCTGATCTGGGCCTCCCGGGAAGCTGCGGTCATGGGCAAGGCAGTAGCCAGGCTTCCTGTCCCAAGACTGGCCCTGAAAGGAAGTGCAGGGCACAGCACCCTTCCTTCTCTGTGGAAGGCTTCCTGGGGTCCTGTGGTTCCATTACCACTGCACTCAGTCTTACTCTTTTTGCCTGACAAAGGCTTAAAAAAGAAATAAGCTGTGACTTTTTTCAAGTTCCCATTTTGTGAAGTCCATTTTCACAAGAGAAAAACCAGGAAGAGTGGTTTTTGGCTTGTTTAATTTTGGCAGGTGATTTACTTTCCCAACAGATCTCTTTTTCTCAAATCCCAAATATTTATCAGATGAGTATGAAAACAAAGCATTTAGGAAAGATGTTGAATAGCAAGGTGCATTATCTCAGAATTGAAAACTTGCTGAAAATAATCCGTGCATTATATACGCAAATATTAATTAAATTCAGAATACATAGAAAAATAATGGCAAATAATTATATGATATTTATTGTGTCAGATACTGTTCTAACTTTATATTAGCTCTAAATGTCCTCAAAAACCCCTGTGATTAGGTGCTACTATCATCCCTAACATAGAGAGGAAAACTGATGTGTAGAGAGATTGATTTAACCTCTCCAGGGCACTCAGCTAAGTGGCAGTGCTGGGATTGGAACCAAGGCCATCTGGCCCAGAGTCCTGCTAGTGACGTTATACTGAGCTGCCCAATAATATAATGTTTACACTAAGAATCATTGCCTTACTGCCCCCCTATCTGACTTTTAAAGCTGTTCTTAACATAGCCCACCAGCAATGATGAAAATGCTGCTGTTTCAGCCCAGCACTATGTAAGAGAGTCAGCTAGTGTAGGGTGCTCAAATGTGTGTATGTAATTTTAGCATTCCTGTGGGAATATCAGCAGGTTCGGTCTAAAGGCAGGCAAACTTCTGTTTACATAGGATACTTTCTGGGAATGAGGCCAAAATACTATACCACATAGAAGAGACTCATCTGCCTGCTGTGGAGAACTCCATTCCCCCACTGAGCAACCACCAGCCACCCATGGGACAAGTTCCATTGGCCTGGCCCCCTTCTTATAGGGCCTTGGCTTGGGCATCTGCCCCCAGCAGCATCTTTAAAAGAGTTTAGTACTTCCCGTGGTGGTACCAGATGACGCCTGGAGGGTGACACTAGCCTCAAAGCATTAAGCAAACCAGTGGAGCCCGAGTCTCAATCTCCAAGGCCGGTTCTTCAGAAAGTAACAGGGAGTCTACAGTGCATTTTTGAAAAATGAAGACAAATTCCCAAAAGGGCAGCTTCAAATGATAGAAATTCCATACTTGAATGATAAAAGCAGGAGTTGAGCCTAGAACAAAAAGAGTTATATGGAAGCAACTTTACTGTGACATTCTGCAACTTCACTTCCGAGAGGAATTCCACAGGCAGGCTGTCTTGGAGTTGCTCCATGGAAATGTGGTTATTGAGGTTACAGAGTCTGTTATCAGGAGGCAGTTCCACTTCACAGAGGAGGAGATGGACAGACCAAAGCACCCTGAGGCCATGAGCCAGGGAGACAGACACCAGTGTATTTTGGTCAGTTCAACAAGTGTCAGGAATTGGCTTCTGACATTTCCCCTGCAGCTGCTTTTGAATTGGATGTTATGTTTTCCCCTCAGACTCCTTTCTAAAAATATTAGTCTGTTTCTCAGATTCAGACAGCTACAGACATTGTTTTAAATTTAGCATATAGTATAATTTTAAATTGTAGTCTTTCAGAGAACACATTCTTAATCTCATTTACTTCTTCATTGCCTCAATTTCTTTAAAAAATAACTTTAATCATTAGCCTTAGGGATTACATTTTGAAACTTCCTTTTAAACTGAAGGAATCTGAATAGTACTTTTAGTGCACCTGTTATTTTAACCAGGCCTTACGATGGTGATGATAAAAAAAATATTGTCTTACATTTGTGTAATAATTTAGCAATAGTAGAATACATATGAGTATTTTTGGACTTACACTCTTATTTGTTACCTCTATGTTTTTAATTAAAGAGACTTTACTAAATAGACTCTTTTTAGATTATGAGTAGTATATAGTCATTTAGTATCATTGTGAATTTAAAAAAACTAACTTAATACAAGTGTACAGTGTCAGTCCAGGCACATGCTGGTTCCACCAGCTAATTTAGCTGCGGAGATGAAGGGAAATAGACTCTTGCCAAAAATCACTGCTGATTCACCAGCAAAATATACATTTTTTTAAATTTTTTTTTTAATTTGAGGCATTAGTTGATTTTTGTGTGTATGCTATGCTTCATGTTAGGGTACAAAACAAGTCTTCATAAGTTCAAAAAAATTGAAACCATATCAAGCATCTTCTCAGATCACGACGGCACAAAACTAGAAATCAACTACAATAAAAAAATTCAGAAAACATTCAAACACATGGAGGCTAAATAGTATGTTATTAACAATGAATGGGTTACCAATTAGATCAAGGAAGAAATAAAAAACTTCCTGAAAATAAATGAAATTGAATACACAAGAACACAAAATTCTATGGGACACAAAGAAAGCAGTCCTGAGGGAAGTTCATAGCATTACAGGCCTACCTCAAGAAAAAGAAAAAGCTCAAATCCTATATGATAAAAGCCTAATATGCTAAGTGCCTGGTCATCCAGTCATCCGATCAAACAATCGAAGCATAATATACTAATGATATACTGAGGCTGCTCAACTGCTCGCTATGATGTGCACTGACCACCAGGGGGCAGACGCTCTGTCCTGTAAGTTAGCTTGCTGCTGGGGTATGGCCATTTGGGACTGAGCAAGACAGGCGGACATGCCCTGGAGCCCTCCTGCAGCCCCTCCCCCCAGCTGGCCCCGCCCCCAATGGGCCCCCATCGTGGCGGGCCAGCCGGACCCTACTCGTGAACGAATTCGTGCACCAGGCCTCTAGTAAGTGATAAATCCTACAACTAAAAGAAATAGAGAACAACAAGAAAAGCCCCGAAGAAGTAGAAGGAAGGAATAATAAAGATTAGAGCGGAAGCCCTAGCTGATTTGCCTCAGTGGATAGAGTGTCAGCCTGCAGACTGAAGGGTCCTAGGTTCGATTCCAGTCAAGGGCACATGCCCGGGTTTGGGGCTTGATCCCCAGCAGGGGGCATGCAGGAGGCAGCCAATCAATGGTTCTCTTTTATCATTGATATTTCTATTTCTCTCTCCCTCTCCCTTCCTCTCTTAAATCAATAAAAAAATAAAAATAAAAATAGATCGGAGCTGAAATAAATGACACAGACACTAAAAAACAATATAAA